AGGAGCTGTGTCCTCTGGAGCCCGACGACCTGGTGGACCTGCACCTGCACGTGCTGCTGCACCTGGTGCGCGCCGCCGGGCCGGGCCGCGCCGCCGTGCTGCCCGCCCAGGCCGAGGCGCCGTGTCGTGCCGTTGGCGCCGCCGCCGACTGGCCGCCGACGCTCAGCGCCGGGTTCTCTCACGCGGCGCTCAGCCGGCGCGGCGAGCTGATTGTCTGGGGCGAGAACAGCTCGCAGTGTCTCGGCGACCCGGAGCTCAGCGCCGAGCTGGCCACCCCGCGCGCCGTGGAGCACCTCTCGGCCGTCGGCGTGGCCGTTATCCAGGTGGCGTGCGGTCGGGCGCACACAGTGGCGCTCACCACGGGCGGAGTGTACGCCTGGGGCGCCGGACGGTACGGCCAGCTCGGTCTGGGTGCGCCCGGCTCGTGTCCTCACCCGCGGCTCCTGCAGACTCTCGCCTACCGACGCGTGGTGCGCGTGGCGGCCGGCCAGTACCACTCCCTGGCGCTCACTGACGACGGACGCCTCTGGGCCTGGGGCTGGAACGTGTTCGGTCAGTGCGGCCGGTCCAGTGTCGAGGACGTGCTGTGGCCGCGGCCGGTGCCCGGAATGAGCAAGAGGCGTGTGTCGGCCGTGGCCGCCGGCTATGCGCACTCGGCGGCACTCACTGACGATGGAAAAGTGTTTGTGTTCGGGTGTAACGCGTACGGACAGCTGGGTGACGGATCGACCCGGAAGAGTTGCCGCGTGACACAGGTTGAGCTGCCCGAGCCGGCAGTCCACCTGGCGTGTGGCTTCTTCTGCTGTGTGGCGGTGCTTCGGTCAGGTCGCGTGTTCCGCTGGGGTCTGGACCCTCAGAGTGTGCGGCTCGGCGCTCAGGCGCAAAAGAAGAAATCTCAGGCGGCGGCGGCGGCAGCAGCGGCGGCGGCCACCACAAACGGTGTCTCCAACGGCCCCGTATCGACGCCCGCGCGCCCGGTCGGACCGGAGGCCCGCAGCAGTCAGAAGACGGTGGACCTTCTACGGGACGCGGCGCCCGGCGAGGCGACGCCGCCGGTGCGAGTGCAGCTCACCACCGCGACACCGCCAGCGGCGGCCGGCCGGCCCATCCCTCCCATTCGCGTGCAGCTCGCCAACGCAACGCCTCCGCCAGTGCCGGCAGCCGGCCGTCCGACTCCTGACCCGCCGCCGGGCCCGCAGCCTCCACCGGCCGCCGCCGCCACCTCCCAGGCAGGCACCTTTACCCCGGAGACGCGCGATCACCTCAGTCCGTCCGAGGTGGACACTTCAGACGTGGACGGCCGCGTGGTGAGTGTGGCCGGCGGCGCGCAGCACACGCTCTACCTGAGCTCCAGCGGCCGGCTGTACGCGCAGGGCCGGAACCTGGACGGCCAGCTGGGGGTCGGGGGCAGGCAGGAGGCGCCGCGGCTCTCCGAGGTCACGGTGCCGGGCGGCGCGCAGACGGTGGCTGTGGCGTGCGGCGCTGACTTCACCCTGCTGCTCACCGACGACGGAGCGGTGCTCGGCTGCGGCAGCAACAGCTACGGACAGCTGGGCCAGCTGCCGGCCGCCGACAAACTGGACGACGCCAAGCTGGTGCTGCTGAAGAACCGGCGCCTGCTGCGGCTGCCGCAGGGCCAGAACTCGTCCGAGACGCCTCAGCCGGTGGTGGCCACCGACAGCGGCCGGCGCACGCCGCTCGAGGTGGTCTTCAGTCTGACGGAGCGGCACGAGTGCGCCTTCAGCCGGCCGGCAGAGTTCTCCGGTGACGCCGAGCGGCTGCACGCCATCATCGGCCTCTTCCAGGGGAGTTACGACTCGGCGCAGCTGCTCGCCAAGTGTCTGGACATGGGCTGTCTGTACGCGGCGGCGCGCGTCTGCTGCGTGGCCGGGAAGCCGGCCAAGGCGCTGCAGCACCACCTGGCGGCCATCCGCGCGGAGGCGGCCGCCGAGCCGGCCAACGGCGGCGGCGGCGAGGCGCTGCTGGGCGCCGTCACGGCCGTGGCCGCCGAGTACCTGGCCCTGCCGGTGGACGGCTCGGTGGCGGGCAGCGTGCAGCTGCGTCAGCTGCTGCTGGAGCTGGTCGCCTTCTGGCTGGACTGCCAGCTGCCGGTGCCGCGGCTGGAGCAGCTGCTGGAGCCGCAGCTGGAGCGGCTCGCCCACCCGCTGGCCGTGCTACTGTTTGGCGGCAGCGCCGACATGCAGCTGTCCGACTCTCGCATCAGCGCCCTCTTCTCCCGCCTGTCTGCCGGTTTCTGTGTTCGTCTGTGCGCGCTGGTGTGCGCCCAGATTAGCGCCGGCCGCATCTCCCGCGAGTTTCTGCCGGCGCTGGGCCGTTTAGTCCTGCCGCCGTCTGCTCAGTCTGTACCGGCTGACGCAGTACTCGACTCCGTGATCTGCCAGCTACTGCGGCACCGGGATGGCGGAGTGCAACTCACCGAATCTCGCCTCGCCGAGCTGGCCCTGACTGACCCTCCGCCGGCACAGTTAGTCGCCTTCTCCTGTGGCCACTCTCTCAGCACCTCTGCGCTGCGGGACGACGCGCTGCCGGAGCTGCGCGTCGGCCTGTCGTCGCTGGGCCGTCCGATCCCGCGCACGGCCGCCCTGCTGATGGCCCAGTACCGCCAGCTGGACGGCTGCCGCAGCGCCTGTCCCAGCTGCGTGCTGCGCTATGTGCAGCGCTGTGTGGACACGACCAGTGAGGAGGAGGACGAGATGTTGTAGCAGACGGCCGGCGGTCGGCGGCGGCCCGGCCGGGACGGCGCCGCGCGCCGAGCCTCCTGCGGCGGCCGCTGCCGGATCGCCTGAACACCCAGGTGGGTACACGTGTGCTGCCGAGTGGTGACTGGTGTGTGCGGGTAGGAATGTGTGTGTGTGTGTGGGGGGGGGGGGGATTGTGACATGATGCATCTGAAGTAAACTCTCCTTTTGTAAGTTATGTTTATGTTTTCATCTTGGCATGGTGAAAAAACTGTTTTGCTTTTATCTTAGCTTTATACGTTTTCTCTTCACGATAAGTTTAGTGAAGCTCATGAGTCATGCGGATGGATCAGTCCTTAAGGCCGGTTGGATAGACGCAGCTTGCACCTTTGCTTCTTTGTCTCGGCCTAATTTAGTTGCGATTGCATCGCTATATGTTTTTATGATAAACAAAATCCTTTCCCCTCTCGACAGGACCGTTCTGCTCCAGCTGGCGGAGCTGGCCAGTGGTCTCAGTCAGTGCGCGCCTCGCCGGTACCAGTGGAGGACTGCGGTACTCCGTACTCTGCCCCCAGCCGAGGGACACCTCCGTACTCTGCCTCTAGCCGGACTCAGCCCCATAGTGGTCCCATAGACCGTAGCTCTCTTCTGTCTAGTCCTGATTTCCGCCGACACCGCTGCGGTTGCTATGGCAACGAACGGAACAAGAACGTGTCTTCACTGTTGTGTGCTGTGAGCCGCCGGCCGGCCGGCCCGGATCCTGAGCTTTGACGGGTGTCATTTTGACGGATTAATTTGTGTAATCGATGCTGTGCGGATGATCTAATCCAGTGTTGGGATATTATAAGCGGTTGTTGTGCATATGTCTGCGTAGAGCTGCTATGGTTTGTTGAATATACCGGCGGTCGCTGCGCCGTTACTCGGGAGCCGGTCATTGGGCGCTCAGGGAAGTGGAGTTTCCTGTACAGGTCGGCAGTGTCTGTGTTTAGTCTCAAACGTGGCTGTATGATTTCCGACTATTTAACACTCAGCGCGGCGGGCATTGCGGGCGGCTGAACCGGCCGTGACTCCGCGGCAGCGGCTGGTTCGTATCTCTGTGTGTGTTGGTGCCTTTACCGTCTGTGTACCCGCCGAGCCGTGACCCCTGACCTCACAGGGTGACCCGGCGGCCGGCCAGGACCACTCCCCGCAACCCTAGGCTGCTGTCGGGCCCTGCCGGCTCCCCGGATTGCTGTGCCCTCCCCACGAGTCTCCCTGAGCTGTGTGCCGCCGGGGCGGTGTGGTGGTCCTCCCAGAGGCGCCGGTGGCGACATCTCGCGGAGGCAGGCGGAGTCGCGCCCCGACGTGTCGTGCTTTCAGTTGTTTGTTGCTGGACGCTTGTATACGTTAAATAATACATGTTATCTACATTTGGCGGAGTGTTTGGCCACTGAGCTGAGGTCAGTTTTGGGTTTATCTGTTGTTTTGTACTAGCGATTAGTGATATCACGGGACGCTACTAGAGTGGAGGCGCATGGCGCGGTCACACGCCACACTTCTGCTGTCCAGGATCACAAGTTTTATGAAGAAATTAAATTTCGTGAGCACCATTATGCCCTTGGTCGCTCTTTCCTAGCTTCGCAGAACTGGATCGGTAGCTGATAAAAAGAGCGAACGCAAATCGGTTCATTCGCTATGGCGTGGTGGTAAAATTACGAATTACTAGTAAAATTACGAATTACGAATTACTAGTAAGATTTACGAGTAAAATTACTCGTATTTTAACGCCCATTAAACTAATAGATTATACCAGCAACACCTTCAATCATGAAATTTGTCACTGAAATGCAATTCGTGCACGATACGTCTCCGCTTTTCTGTAGAGTTTCGTCATTCGGGCTTGTAGACTCAAAAGTCGCCTGTCTATTCTGCGATCCGAGTATTTCATCCATTATGGTTTCATCCACCAATTTCTCCAATGTTGTATCAATATAAGTAGACCTATATGAACTGGAATTGAAAATTGTAATTAAAAATGGACAAAAGACACGATAATGATACTTGAAAGCAGCATTTTAAATGCATTATTTTGTGACTTATTTGTCTGCCATTCTGCGATCATATGATTTGACCCCAGAACATTTAAAAAGATGTTATTTCTTGTCGACTCCTTTCAAAATTCGTGTTTTTCCTCCTTATGAATTTCAGACAGGGGCTCACTTTTTGTCGAGACAACGTTATTGAATTATATTGACATGAAAATTGTAAGAAAAATCCGCTATATTCCACCGAATTTCTTTGTCCATTTACCAAAGCTCTTGAATCTAAGTACGGCTCATTTCTGACGCACCTGCTACATATAAAAAATCAAAACAATCGAAGCTTTTGTTGTGAGTTCCGTAGTGAGGTTTGCTCATTTGTCTGTAAAGGGTTGGAGTGCGTTGAGCAGACTGGAGTGGTTGGTAAGTTGTTATGTCCTGGTATTTTTGACGTATACTGACAATGCATTGTAGCATCTCATCCTATGGATTGTGTCGGTTTTTACCACCTAAGTTTGAGCTGAAGTATATATTTTTCCTACACCTGTGTCAGTGCTGGTTACTATCTCAGCCTGGTTCTTACTTCTTTTCTTCATGATTTATAAAGAATTCAAGATGTAGTATTCATTTGAAGTGTTGAAATAAATGTCCATGTGCTTCTTTTTTAATTCAAGTGAAAAAGTTGCCTTCATTTTGGTATAGGTTTGCTTTGCGATTTCATCATAAAGTGCATTATTTTGATTTATGTTTCTGAGCCACTGGCTGTCTGGGTCTAGCACCCTGGGTGAACAGGTTCAGATCGCTTCCCTGTTCTCTCTCGTCTTTTGTGCTATTGCTGAGGGAAATTGATAAAGATGCATTGGTCATAAACGATATGCCAGAAAGCTTGAGTTGAGAGGTGCCATTCTGTTTGAGTCATTGGCATCTATACTTGATTATAGAATGACTTTACCTGAGAGTTGAAACATGTTAAAATAAACATCTTGTTCAACACATCATAGTGATAGTGTACATGTGGTTAATTGTTTGTAATTCTTCTTTATCTCTCAAGTCAAAGGGTTGTTTTACTCTGTCATTTAGTCTTGCCTGTTTGAGATGAGATTTTCATGCTTGTTTTATTTATCATTTGTCTATTTTTTCAGTTAAATCATGGGACAACATCATGGCAAGCAAACTGAGAAGGACCAGAAGCTCCTATTCTCACCTGAATCTCAGGATAAGCTAAAGGAGGTCTTCTTGGATGCTTCAATTGGAGATGAAAAAGTTTGTTTGGTGAAAGGACTACAGGTAAGTCAACTCTTTTCAGAACTGCTATCTAATTTATTCTTCAATATATCATCATTACCTTTAACTATCAACTGGAAGCTACATCTAAGCACTGCACTGCTTAGACTTGTGGTTAGCTACTAAACCCATTAGCTTTTTATCAATAATTTTGTTAATTGCTAGGTATCAGTTGGGATCTTTCTAATTATGTTCCCTGCATTCTCTTGGATTGCTCCTCCCTTCCAGAGCTCAATGGCTTGAGGGTCTGATGCCCAGTGGGCTAGCTTTCTTAGCAATAATTCAAATTATCTACTTTTCTGCTTGATACCTACTTATTTCAGGCTCTTGGTAATGGTGGAGATGTTCTGTGCTGTCTTCCATTGGCAGGATCCCTCAATTCTCATGCCCTGCTGGCAATCTGGGGAAGGTCAAAATGGGTTCCAGCTTAGCTAACTGGGAAAGGTCAAGCGCCTTATCAGATAATCAGTTTTGTTCAGATGAACATTTTTATAGTATTTTATTGCTCTGCCACACCTCTTAACCTGGTCAGCAGTGGTCCAGTCTGTGTGATTTAACCCCTCGCCCGTATAGGGGGGGGGGGAGTGGGGTCGAACGGACCCCCCTCGGTTTTTCGCGAATAACTCGCGTAAAAAGCGGCCGATCTCGATGAAACTTTTGGTACTCTCGCGTTATTCAATTTTACACCTACCCTGAAAATTTCATGACCCTGACCCAAATGACCTTTGACCTGTGACCTACTTTCCGAGACCATGTTTGGCCGGAATCGCGATTCGGGGTACCTATGTCGGCTCGCATTAGCCGCGCGTTTGCAGTCTTTTTGTGGGTTCAAGCGTTTAAACATGTGATATGATGTTGCCCCTATCACTGCCCTATGCATTAGGGTGGGTGTCAAGGTCACCTGAAGGTCAGGTCAGGTCACTGACCTTTGATGACCTCGGTTCATTTTTTCGAGTTTTACATGTTTCTAGGCCAGTTTTTGGAGCTGAATTCGAATTTAGCAACCAAATGAACATTTGCGAAGTAGTTTTGATGCCTTCGTAACATGTTACGAAGCTGTCAGAGGCGGTTGACACCTACTACGAATACCCGGCAGGACCCCCACTGGTTGACCTGACCTGACCTGACCCGACCTTACCTAAATGCATGAAGACATCATCTGTGATCAAAACTAACATGATATTCGTGATCAGCACCCCGAAAAACCCCACAGCAGCCACGCTTTACGACGTTCTAACAGGTCCCGATTTTTTCCGACTTTTGGGTCATTGACCTGACCTGGAAGGTCAACCAATGACCTGGGACCTTAAAATTGGATATCATTGGCTTCCTCTCGTCATGGGCAACACGCTCGTTCTTTCCGCGAAGCTCTAGCTCAATCAGGGGCGAAACGGCAAGGGGGGGGATCCAACGGACCCCCCCCCCCCCCTTATACATTCGTGGCTGGAAAAACACCAATACGGGCGAGGGTTAATAAGACATTTTGTAAGACTTTGTGTGATTTCAAATTCACAATAGGTATATGTTTATTGACTCATTTTTCCAACTAGTTACCTATTTAGTATATAAACCAATTTTACAATGTTTGGGTGTTTTATCTTCATACAAAAAAGACACTTAACTATCAGCTGTTGTCTCTTCCCTCGCTCCCAGGAATGTCTGGGCCGCGTGCTGCACTCGACCATTGCGGCACGGCTCTGTCAGCAAATGCACCCGGACGGCGCCGGCAAGATCGACTACCAGTCGTACGTGTTCCTTACCAACGCGCTCTTCAAGGCCACGCTGGAGCAGCGCAGCGCTCTGGTGGAGACGCTGGCGCGCGGCGACTCGGATCACGTCGACATCCTCGACCTCAGACACGTGAGTGACGGAAAACGGGGCGGGGGTGATACCAGCTGCCGTACTCATGATTTGACTACTTGAGTGTGTTTGGAAAAGGTTTCAAAGAGTTTACTCTCATTCAAGCTTGAATCTCATTAGGAAGCTGATTAGTCTGTGAAAGTTTGCTTTCATTGGAGGACTCGGTGAGATTGATGCGATTTATACCGGTCGATTTTTCCCGCATCGTAATCGACATCAGTCGTTTCGGCTATCAGCTGTTTTACGTACAGTGATCATATGATGCCAAAGATCTCGGCAACCTTACGAGTTACGACAACGATGAATTCATATCAAGTATCAACAAGTTTCCTGATACCGCCACCTCTCAGCATTATTCGTTCTGCATCCCCGATAGTCATATGCGCTCATTTCTACCGTATCCAAGTTGCATGTTTACTCGACCTCCGATAAGCGTTATCGGAGACCCCCGATCCCAGTGCACGCGCTCAGATACCCCGCTGGCCGAATATCCGCCGTCGGTCACGCGGACGCCCCGGGGACTGCGCCGCACGGCGGACAGTCACGAGAACAGTCACGTGCCTAGCCAGGTGTGACGCAGTTTCTTTCTTTGTGTGCAGTCTGTCGACTGATGACGCAGTGCGAACGAACCGTGCCGTGGCGTATGTATGCCTCGGTTAGACACGGCAGTGTTTTTATATACCTTGGACACGGCTGAGGGATGTAGAAATCGAACTCGCCGAGAGGAAGAGAGTTCGACAGAAATGGACCGCTGAGCCTGGGACCTTATGAGGAAATGCAGCGGGAAATGAGATACGCGAGCAGGGGAGATACCGCGGGTCGTATGATAATTGGCGATCGCTCGACATGGAAATCAAGTACCGTTAGAACGGTTCACGTCAGCTGGGCACTCTCCTCAAGTGGTGTGCTAAAAATAGGCTGCGTAAAAATGGGACTGAAATTGGTGCATATGTAAGGCAGGACTGCGACATACCACCATTATAAAGCCTGTACATACGCTTAGGATGAATCTAGTTATAGCATTGTATTGTATAGTACATTTAAGAGCGATCCACATCATCCACATTCCCCATTGCCGGCGATTTCTGCTCATAATCCGTTTCCGCGGTTACTAATATAAGCATTCGCAACATTCGCACATTCACTCATGCCAAATCACGGGACCTGATAATGATGGAATTTACCCTTTTCCGACAGTACGTGGAGAAGATGGTGCTGTCGTACGTGTCGGTGCTGAAGCTGACGAAGCGGCCCAAGATGGAGAGCCTGGAGCGGCTGACCACGGCTCTGCTGGCTGAGTTTAGCGACAAGGATGCCTCCGTGCCAGTCACACAGGTCAGTGCTCAGTCTGAGGGAGGGTCCAGTGGAGGGTGCCATTGGCTGGGGATGGTAGGGGCTGGCGGAGGGGGTATAACATAAAATTATGCACGTTGTATCACTTTATTTAGGAGCTTTGATCGACGTGACCTTTCCAAAAATAAAGGTTTGTGTTGAAAATCAGCGCAATTTTTATCTGTAATATCAGTTTTTTTCATTCTTGCCCATTTAAGAATTATTTTTGCTTGGTTACGTCGTCACTACGGTCGGCACACGTTTTCGGTCTACCTCTTCTGCACCGTGCGCTCCCCGCTCTAACCCCGCCGTCTCGCCTCAGAGCGACATCGAGTCGTGGCTGCTGCGCTGCCCGCTGTTCGCCGCCATCCAGACCAACGTGTTCCGCTCGGCATTCAACCTGGACATCCCTCACGACTACCGACACATCCTGCCAGACATGCCCGACATCGACAAGAGCTACGAGCCGGCCATCGGCCCCCTGGAGAGGATGTTCGTCAACTACGCGCTGCCGCAGCAGCAGCGTGACCAGTGGAGACTCTTCTTCTCCAACAAAATACACGGCCAGAGCTTCAGGTGACTGGCGCCGGAGATGATGCAATCAAGGTCGCCCAGTTTTTAGATCTGACGAAATTTCTACGCATGTTTATTGTTTACTTATCTTCTTGGACTTATCGGCCAACGTTCTATTTCGCTCGTCAATATACACGACACATCTGTTACTGGTTGAAACAGCTGTCGAAACGAACGCAAGTTAAATTCTGTCGTGCCGTGCATTAATCGTAAAGAGGTGTGAATAATTTTATTGAACTTGGTGTATTGTTTTAAACCGATTACAGTAGGCATTCTTCAAAGCCATTTTGTTTGGCGTGTCTCCTCTGACCTTTTATCGTCTTTTTCGCCTCTAGCACGATGCTGGGTTCTATCGTGGACCAGGGCCCGTCCTTGGTGGTCATCCGGGACACTGACGGGCACGTGTTCGGTGCATACGCCCCAGAGAGCTGGCACTGCAACGGCGAGTTCTACGGTGAGTTACGGAGTGAGAGTGAGTGAGTGAGTGAGTGAGTGAGTGAGTGAGTGGGTGGGTGGGTGGCTGGGTAGGTGAATGAGTGAGTTAGTCGTGCGCATTAACCCTCGCCGGACCTATTGGTTTTCTACATACGCGCCGGCCGAGGGGGGGGGGGGGGCGGGTACGACCTCCCCCTCGCCGTTTCGCCCCTGGTGGAGCTAGCGCGTCGCGGAAAAAACGAGCGTGTGCGCCGTTACGAGACGCAGAGATTGGTACCCGATTTTAAGGTCCTAGGTCAACCGGTGACCTCTGAGGTCAGGTCAAGCGCCCCAAGGTACGGTTCAGTTTTTGGTGAATAACTTCGCAAAAAATGGCCGCAGAGCGCCGATTTTGGCAGCATCGTGTTCGCCTCGCTTAGGCGCGTCGAATGGTATACTTTTTGTCCGGGTCAGGTCAACTTGAGGTGTTGACCTCAGGTCAAGGTCAGGTCAGCACCCCCAGGTCACGAAGTTGGTCGAAAGAGGTCATGTCGCATATCATTCGATTCGGCAGACCTTCCTGAGTCCATTGGTGGCTTTCCCGACTCGCTAGCTCAATTTGATCATGAGTTATTGACGAAAAACTAATATGACCTTGATGACGTCATAAATGACGTCACGCAAGGTCAACATTGCAAAAGTGACGCATCTAACCTTGCAAGGAGTGCATCAAATCACGATTCTGTGTGCTTGATATAGTTGGAGATCGTTCCCGGCGCCAGAATAGCAGTTTGAATTTTTCCCCATTGACTTATAATGGTGAGGTCACGAAAATGACCTGACCTCATATGACCTTTAGAAAAAATCCGAGATATACAAGTTGTGGGACTCATAATGGATACTAGATCCTGCAAGTTTCATTGCCCTGTGACATCTCCTCTGGCAGTGAGGGTGTTGCGAAGTTGCGACATCTGAAGACCGTGCAGAGGTTCACTTATGACGTCATAGGTCAGTGACCTGACCTGACCCAAAAATGCGGTTGGTGTCAAAAGATCCGGCCTGGATCAAAGGTCAGGTATGCCAAGTTTCAGCTCTCTATCGCCAGCGTGTTCGGAGCTATCGCGAAAAAACCCTATGGGGGGGCGGCACCCGCCCCCCTTCCCCCTCGGCCGGCGAGGGTTGAGCGATTTTCTGAGGATGCGCTATTGTCGAGTCTTATCAGTGAGTCAGCAGAACACTTGTGAGTGCCGTGTTTTCGAGGTGAGAGGGTGGGAATGGAGCCAAGTGTACGAGATTACAAGAAAAACAGCTGACGTGGAAACAACTGGGGCCGCTGCTTTGTCTACTGCGTTACTTGTCAGATACCGCTATTTCAGTACCACCTCTGCTTCTTTGTCTCGTGTCATCGCACTATTCACCTTTAACAGCTGAGAAAGTTGACTGCTTCATTGATACGTTATGGGCCACGCTCACGTGCGAGGTATCGTTGATTCAGAACTGTGTGCTGGCTTAGCTCGGTCAACCCAGGCTTTGTCTGATCACCTCACCTTTGCTGCCTTCCTGATGTCTTCGTTGCATTCACAGGCACCGCCCAGACTTTCCTGTACGCGCTGGACCCCAAGATGGAAATCTTCCTGCCGTCGGGATTCAACGAGAACTACATGTATCTGAATGTGAATCAGCAGACGCTTCCCAACGGAATGGTGAGTTTCACAGACGGCCGGCAGGTGGCAGGACTGTCGCCGCTAGGTGGCGGGCAGGTCATGAGTATCATGACTCATGAACGATGCTTGCTTTTGAGATATCAGATGACAGAAATGTTGCTCTGCATCATATTTTCATGTGGCGAAAATTTGCACAGCAATTATATTAAAAACGTTACAGGAAAATGCAAAATGCGATTGGAGAAATGCCGATATTCGAGTGAAGAATGATGTGTAATTGTGCAATCGTGCGCTCGCATGTTCGTCGTTTATTATCATCCTATCAAACAGCAAAGCGAACAACTTACGTCGACAGGGTTTCGGTGGCAAGTTCGAGTACTTTGGTCTGTTCGTGAGCGCCGACTTCGGTCACGGGTTCACGGCGCCCACCTGCACAACGTTCGAGTCGCGGCAGCTCTCTGGCAAGAAACGCTTCCAGATCGACGTGATCGAGGTGTGGGGCGTCGGCCCCAAGCCCAAGAAGGTGGACGATGATTCGGTAAGTGGGCTGTTTGGGTTGAGGAGAGGAGCGGATGGACACTAGACTGTGGGACGTCTAGCTGGACATCGTTTAACGGCTGTGATGGAAGTACTTGCATGCTGGGTGGTGTCAGTCCGTTTTTGGTAGTCCTTGATGTTTTAGTGGGACATGTGTGATGTCAGCAACTGCACTTTTTGGTGCAGTATAGCGTATATTGTAGATGAAGCCCAGCAAAGCCTTTTTTCCTAACCATGTGGAGGATATGAGCAATCCTCATTCGTTCCCGATATCCTTGTCATTGTACAGGCATGAGAAAGGACCAAAACACGCGCATCAGTGCTGTTTGACCGTTGCAGATCTGGCGTCAGCCGCACGGTCAGAGGCACTGCCACTCTGGAGTGCGGCACATCCTTCGCCTCTCCAAATGATCCGACCGCCATCCTGCGTCCTACCGCCGCCCTTGGGGCGACCGATCATCTACCATCATCCCTGAGAGCGACCAGGATCAATCCTGAGACCGGCCAATCTTCCCTGCAAGACCAAGGGTTTCATTTGTCATCCTTCATCCTCACCTGGGCTACCTGTCCAGACCGAACCCTGGACATCTATCACGGTCATGACGTGTGGTTACGTGTGTTTGGCATGCCTGTGGATAATCGTGCTTTGTTGTCATTTTTAAGTAGTGCGATATTCTCATCGGCACCAAAGGTGTATAACTTTCGGTGCATATGTGTCGTGTCGAGCTGTCATACGCCTCTATACCAGGGACTATCGTTACACCAAGGGGTTCGTGGAGTATTGTTAGTTCATCGGTTTTGAATCTGTGGCAGGAATAACAATAGCTTTATTGATAGGTACATAACGTGATGAATACTCTATCGCGGTAAAATTGGCTCAAAATTGATATGGGGAGTTTGCTGGAAGTTCAGGGATGGGCTAATGAGATCATATTTGCTATCGCTGCCCGTACGGTATAATATAACCCCCGGACGCTGTCATTCTGTTTAATATAAACATAAGATCGAGCCACTGAACTTTTGAAATAAGGACAGCATGACAGATCGTATGGAGCAGCTGTTGATTATCAAGCTCCTGATGGGATCATTAGTCCGTCCAGCTGCCATTCGTCTCGAGTATTTAGTTTCGGTATTTTCTTGTCGTGTGAGTCTCTTGTCTGTGTTTTATTTGTTTGTTTTAGTTAGAGGGTAGTGACCGTCTGAGCACACATTTATTGCATTTTGAGGTATGTCGTGCCGTGGGGAAACAGGCTAACCCGTATGATAACCGTCGATACATCAACAGCCCACTCACAAAGCGCTATTTTTGCAGCCACCTCCAAGACGCGCGGTAAGCCCAATATGCTTCGTTACATTGCTTTGCTTGCAGGCCTGTTTGCACGCTAATGGTGGCCTGGCATTATGTCTGTGTTGTTCAGTGTCGTGGTGATTTGACTGTGTGTTTGGGAATGGTATTTGATTAACCGGGTCAGTTGGGCTCGGCTTTGTTAGAACTCGTGTTAAACCTGGTGCTCGGTCTCCACTCTCAATCAAGCTGCTCACACCCGACCTTCGTCCTCAATCAAAGCTTTTGGCATATTATATGGTTAGAGTCACATTCAATGAGAGTTATAGGCGGTCTTCATCTATTGTCATACATTACGTTTAATTTTATCCTAGCCATGGTTTCACCTTTTAGAACGTAAATTGTGTGGTTTGACTTACTTTGGCTCACGCTAAAACATTGCCACGATGCGTCATTAGGAGAATGTGTGTGGTCCTTGGCATTCCTTGGCTGCCAGCCTGTGGTTGTGTGAGCATTACGACTATCGGAAATCGGCATGGATGTAAAAAAGGCTAGTTTAGCGATAAAAAGGTAAAAACGCACAGCTTTTAGACATGCCGTGTTCGGCTGCAGTGCATTTTTGCAATCCGCTTTCAATAGAAAGGCTGCTAGATTGTGCTTATGATTTTTTTTTTTTTAATGCGTGGCATGAGGGACTTTCAAACAGCGGATTAGGTGACATTAAATAGACCTGGTTGTCATTTCGTTTCTTACATGTCTAGATGATGTGGTCTCCGATTACTTCGGTTATGTTGTCAGTTGTTGACGATGTTTTATCAACCTGCGTAAGCATGTTTGTGTTTTTCTCTATTTCCATCTCGATTGGTTGAGGGACTATGCGTTCTTTTCTGGCAGTGTCATCGGGCAGGTGGAAGGTTGCACTTTGCGTGTCACTAATCGAGCCTCTTGTATGACTCTATCGCGGATGCTTTCATTCTTTCAACTTGTTCTTTATCCGTCCGTGACTGTTTAAAACGGCATCATGGTTGTACCCTGAATCTCCTACCCTGATGATTTTGCGTTTCCAGCTTTTTCTTGGCACTCCAGATATCGTTCTACTTTTATCATTGAGTATCGCAAGATTTCTTCAGCTTTCCAACGTCTTTAGAAATTTAATATTGGCTACAAGAGAGTAAGCTAAAGCTGTAAACCATTGCACCAAACATACATATAACTGATTCCCTCGTTCGCATCACTAAACCTACCACAGCGTCGCCCCTTTCCCACATCTCCCTACTGTACCACCGTCCGGCACGCAGAGCCCCAACACCCCTCCCCGGTCGTGTCCGGCAGGCGGTGAAGCCGTCCATCCTGGACGCGGACCCGGAGGGCGCCGCCATGGTCGAGATGGTCAAGGGCGGCATGCACAGCGAGGGGCTGCGGGAGACGCCCACCTCCGACATCCCGGCAGAGAAGGAGCTGCCGCCCATGTGAGCGGCTGCCGCCCATGTGAGCGGCTGCCGCCCATGTGAGCGGAGCGACTGCGGAGCGTCCGGCGGGACGGGGACGGAAGAACCGACGTGAATGAAGCGGTGGGACGTGATTGAAATACTCCTGTTTGTGTTCTTTCCCTCAGAAAAGGAGGATTAGTTTCATAACGACATATGAACGAATGGAGGGTTCATTGAACGTGTTTGGTTTGGATGGAAGGCTGTTAATTTGTGCCACCCACTGCCCGGTTCGGTTGAAGGGTTCTGCGCTGATTCTGCAATTCCCTGTCCCGCTCGGGCCAGTTTCCCCGGTCGCTGTAGTGTGTTATTACCCTAGATGATCTTGGCAATATTATCCAATACTGGTAGGCGGTAGCTTCATATTGTGTGCGGGTTGAGTGTACCGATATTGTCCTTAATTGTAGCCGACCTGTGTGCCAATAGACATAAGTATTGCCACATTCCGAGCAATCGCTGAAGCGATGCTCTTTCTGAATGACACTTATTTTTGAAGACCGTATGTCATATCGATTAATGATTTATTCAAAGTGAATCGAGCCCTATGCTACTGATAGTATTTTGATTATTTTTGCATCGTCTCTTGCTGCCATATGTGCGTTTACGCTCTTGTATTTGTTCAGATGCGGTACAAAACAGGCTGCGCCATTGCCACAGATAAAGTCTTCGAAACATGTAGACAACTTAGCTTGTATTTCACTACATTTATTATTGGTTGTGGATTCAGATTGTGCAATAGTATTGTAGCAATTTTGGCAAAATCTTGGGCAACGATGGGTTGTGTCTACTGTCTTTGCAATATGTGGATAAGACTCAGTTAATCTTAGACCCAGATCGCCAATCTGCAAAAAAAAAAGACTGATATTCGATGAGTGCAAATAGACGGGAAAATTGCAACTTTTGACTTCAAGCCGTCCCGATTGCCGCTGAGACTTGTGTACGTTCGCTATTCCCTCGTACTTTTCTCTTTCACGGAATAATACGGTGACCTGTGAAGTAACTAGAGCCTTTCTTGCCTTCAATCATTCTACAATCTGACTCTTCCATATCCACCTAGTGAAACGTTGTGCTAGTTCGAAATAGCTCAAATTAGCTCAGTATTCGAGGTAGTTAAACTACCAGTTGTGCTTGCCATACATTACATAGAATGACGAGTTGTAGTGCAGGCCTCTGTCGCCACCAAGTTCACTCGATGTACAATTTCTATATATTATTAAATGTGACCAGACATAACTAGTTAACATCGAGATAGTCTCCAAGACACGTCATGCAAAAGCAAACCTTACTCTGTTCTGATTTATGTAAATGTCGCTCAAAAGAGCAGCGTACCTTAGGCATAGTTGCTACGGTGCTGTCCATATGCTAAGCGTTTAGATGATCACTGCAATGTTTCGGGTGATTTTTTTCGATGTAATGTTAGATATTTTGTAAATACTGTCCCGTCCTTGTATGTACATGTCTTATGTACCTATTTCGCGGGTGTAAATAAAGTAACCGGGCTCATACCGCTGCTTAAACGGTTTTCTGATAATGCATGGAGAGTCAGTAGACAGTAATGTGACGGAATGCACGATGAATGGCTTCATCGATAGGAATATTTAACAGTGGCACTTTTACAACTGCTCCCTTTTTGTAACATTATCCCAACTGTGTATGGTTCACCAAATCATATAACCTACCTACAGGTGTCCCGGGAACGATTTATACCGCATTGGACCTGAGGATAGGCCATTCGCTGCTTGTTTGTCCGAGTGGAAGATAACGAGATCATTTCAATTTGCATAAACGTCTCTGCGAAGCCCAATAACATCCTCATCGAACAGTCAGCTATTCCACGAACTACAAATTCAGAACGAAACAAAATGCCGGGATGGTACTTTGTGTGTGTGGGAGGGGGGTGGGGGGTGGGAGGTGGAATGCCAATGAACAGTCACATGATAACTGAAAGATCAAAACCATATCGAACCTGTGAGTTTCACCGCACGGACATCGTCCTACCCTTTCCGTCGATGTCCACACGATGTCCATAATGATAGGGTCTGCAGTGGAGCGACGCGCCGCTCCTGCCACCTATCGGTCGCGGCGGCAACTAGACCGGGCGGCGGCGGCGGGCGGCCGGCAGTCGCCTCTCTGCAGTGGCCTGGTAGGTGCGGCGGGAACCGGACCAAGACTCCAGTGACTCGGTGACTATCCGTGACTCTCCGTGTCGCGGGCGACACCATGAGGACCTCTCTGTGTGCTGTGCTGGCCGTCCTGGCCGTGGCGAGTGCCGAGAACTTGTATCAGGCGATCGAGCAGAAACCGGATCTCAGCGAGGTAAGACGCACGTCTTGGGTGTGTGAGTGGGCGGCGGGGTCGGTCAGGTCGATATTGTGTTGGAACGTCCCTCCGACGAGCGACTACCTCGCAGTGGCTACTGACTGGTCACGGTTGAGCAAGGCTTCACCGGCTCAGGGACATTTATTCGGCGGCGTTGGAAGTGGTGCACGGTTTGATATCCGCGGCGGTCGTTAAACTATCGGACCGTTTTACGCTTGGGATCCGAGAAGACAACGGGTGTTGTAAATGATCGGCTCCGCAAAGAATAATTTTTTTACGATAATGTCAAAGTCCCCAATAGTATCGAAGCCGCTAATAATCCGATGTCAATGTTATTTCCAACGGAAGCCAAAGCAACCATAACTGAATATTGAACGGCGAGTCAATTACATAACGATTGCATTTTTATTTGAAGCATTCTCAATTGATTGTATGATTCATTCAAGTTTGACGAGATCTACGGCTGACTGTTTTCCGCTTTGAGTGGGAAGGCACGCCCTTCTCCCCCGAAAGCACTAACAAAACAAAACTACAAACCGTTCAAAACACAACACGCTAGGTACACTGCACACGCCGATAGCAAGTTTACTCATGCCTTTACACCCAATTGTCGGACTTCGTGTCCATTTTTACACCCGACCCCGGCATGTGAAGCCCAAGCCTCGTGTCACGCGTCGCGAGCAGCGCCCTTCCTGTCCGGCCCGGTTCCGGACTGCCGAGCCCGGTAACATTCAAACGGAGCGGGTATACCGACTCCTGCCGTCCCACCGGCTGGCTATAAGTTACACGTGCGGGGACCGGTCGGACCGGCCGCGGCTCACCTTGAAAACCCATCTCGGAGAGGAGTGGGGTGTGTATAGAGAGGAGAGGAGGGAAGGGATGGGAAAAGGGTGTGGGGTCTTCACTTCCAGAACGGTCGTTCTGTGACCAAAGGAGGCGCAGCGCGCGCAGATGTGTGCAGGATCAGAGAGCTCATGCAAGTCAATTAGGTAACCGGGTGTGATTCAGAGTGGGAGAGGGCGGCTGAGAGGCCCCACTGTCCTCTGTCTCAGCGATCGCAGTACACGGTGGACACTGGATACTGGATACTGACTGAGGCTGCAAAGGCCTTAGATGCGATGCACATAAGAGCGCGGCATTTGAAAGTTTAGGTAAATGGTGCGAATCCATCTTCACCTTACGACTCATTGCGTTCACCGCTTCCCAACGGCCTCACGACCGCCCTCATATATCGGTCGTCCCCGTGACAAAGTTCCTCCCCTGAGTCACCCGAAAGGCCGCCTCTCCAAAGGTCAGTGGTGACCGCGATGGCGGCGGCCGCTGTCCTGTCCCAGGTCTCCGCCCCACTCACCCCGACCTGGGCCGTCACGAGTGGCCCCCAGTTGACGTGCCCGGTATACCCGGGTCGTGTTTCCCGTGATTGAATGTCAGCGATGGTGGGGCAGCTGCACAGGGTGAATGTGCATTGTGCTGAGCGCAAAGGGGTACAATGGCCAGAACGAGGGGTTCGGGCGGGCCGGCAGGTCCCGCAGTTAGAAATGGAGGGGGCTGAGAGCGAGTTACCCGGCTAATATATGAGTGCAGCACACCGCTCTAAATTGATCACCACCAAATCGAGCACATATAAAAACCGGGAAGCCGAACGGCAACTGTGTGCGAAAGATATATGCGTACCTACCTTGTAACGCCAGTTGGTTGTATAAAGAGCGGAGCGCCAACGCGTGTGTCGCCAGACAGACCAGGCAGAAATGGGACACAACGTTATCGCGGGCGCGCGTCCCCTAGCCTAAGTCACGTGACCGCGATGGACGTCTTGGCTGCGCAGCGGCCGCGCGCTGGTTCATTGCCCCTAGAGGGCAAACAGAGAAGTCATGGTACCACAAAATTTTTCGCTCGTATACGATTGGAAAAAGCTCCTAGCTGCGCTAAACGCCGATTTTCATGCCACCCATTTGATGTTCCGATGCGCTTGAAACGGATGTTAACATTTGAATTCCGCTTTCAGGTTAGAAATGTGCCGATCATCGATCAATAATTTATATCTTATCGGTTATATCGTCCCAAAAATTTGACTCATTTTCCCGATCCCTACATAAAATAATTTGCATTGTTTCTGATATGAGACGTTTAACATTTACGACTGTGCGAGTAGGTTTGCCCCCCCCCCCAAAAGAAATTAAAACGGAAGCTGCAGTGTCTCTCTGTGTGCGGGATAGGGATAGGTATCACTCATTAAAGCTGGGTGCGCTGTGATGGATTGATGAGATAAATGATACGGGGTGGGGATGATGAAGGGAGGGAGTGGAACTGGGCCATTACCGCTGCAGAGTAGGGAGGAGGATGGAGAGAGGGCCGGAGGACCGTGAGTAACCCATTCGCCCCGCTTTCTGTGCTGATACGGCTGCTGAGTGCTGTGCTGAGTGCACATGGGGGAGGGAGTCGGGGGAAGGCACGGATGAGATAATAGATGGATGAGATAGGGATGCATGCCTCTGCCCTCTGCAGCCGTTGAAACAAGTGCGACAGCCTCACCGGAGCTTCTCATACCTGCACTGCTGCAGACATACGTTGACGGGACAGGAAGGAAGCGAATGAGCTTGTCGGTATACATTGTCGAGGCCACCTATAATCAGACTTAAGCCGTAAACGGGAAATATGTCGCCTGCTTAGTGGTTATCATCTCTGCTTATGCTTTAAAAGACTGTCCCATGTCTGAAGACATCAGTGACTTGATTTTTTTTTTGTGTGAAATATTTGACTTGGGCGTTGAAGTCACAATCAAGTGGTGGGTGACGAATTGTTATATTTTTCGACGTTTCAATACGCCTTTTTATCATCATGCGCGGATAATAGCTACAAGCCGCAATTCGTGTGCAGCTTTTTGCCCATTGTCACAAAACATACATTTTTATCGGCATCGTTCATCACGACTAATAAGCAGCTAATTGTCGTTGAAAATAGATTTCGTGACCCGTACACCGCCCCGGTCTTTTCTGCGCCCACTATCCAATAAACGTGTAGGTGCTCGGTAAAAATAGCGGCTCCGGAAAGGCAGGGGCCGATGGCCGGTTAAATTGTTCGCCCGCCTGAACCGTCTGATTGCTGTTCCAGTCCCGTGGCCGGCTTAATTTCCGCACCGACCATCCGGTGCGCGTGCCACGTGCAGTGGGGAGGGGTGGGAGGGGAGGGGAGGGGAGGGCGGCAGCTGGAGGCGGAGTCAGCGGCAGCTGGCATGGGTGTAACGAAGGGGAGATTGAGACGAAACTATCCAGTTTTCAACTTTGTCCAGCTGAAATTTTAATTAATTAGGCGGGCGGTGATTATCTAGTATCACTTTCTGTAACCGTATGTGTGAAAGCTGCTACTTATAAGTGCTCTTCATTTTTAGTACGGAGCAATAAATTAAATTTTTCATTTTTCGAATATTTCAAGCAAAAACTTATTTTCAATATTGAAAAGGCAATTTTACTTAATTTTTCGCACGACGTTGAATTTGCATGCAATATGAAGATAGCAAAGCAGTTTGTAAAGGATCTGATCTTTTGTCCACAAAATACCCGATCTATGCAGTCCCAATGTGTAACCGTAAACAAGCATCACATCCTTTAAACGTTTGGCATGTAACGGCACCGATGAAAGGCCAAGCTGTAACGCTTCTACTCATACCACTGCGAATCAGCACCATGCATGCATGACTGCGTCCCGCTTCACCATAGTTCCCGCGGCTGCAGACGGGTACTGTAAAGACCCGTTCACACGGGCATGGTTCCCAATAAATTCGACCGTCGCTAGCCCGTCTTTAGCGCTCCAGACGTCGCTTACAGCCGGCAGGGGTTCTGGTAACTTGGTGAGAACTGTCACTCACATGCAGGAGCTTAATGGAACGCCGCGCCATTCCACGATGCTATAGGGAAAAGTTTCTGGTGTGAAACTGGCCGAGCGCAATTAATTGTAATTGGAATGTGTTGGGATAATAGCCACCTTGACATCAGATCTACTTATAAGATTTATTATCGTGTCTTGGTTCTGTGGGACCACTAGCCTTTTTTGCATACCATGTGCATGGAACACCGGATAAATAACGCAGAACCGTGTTTCTATGTTGTCCTTTTCTTTTCATGTCACTTTGGTCTTTCAATCACGCTATTGTCACCATTTGTGACGGCTAATTCGAGGGTGTACGACGGCCGTATCATCATCGAGTATGTAACAGTGCACACTCGGCGCTCACCAGCTGTCTATCCCCTGTCCGACCTCCCGTCTCCTCCCCTGTGTATGCCCCGGTCCGGCCGGGTCTGGCACACGGGACCGTCTCCGCAGGTGCCCTCGTCAGCGGCCAGCAGCGGGGTGCCGACTAACTCAATCAGACGCCCCACCGACACTCCTGGTCGACACGAGCCACCCGTGGCCCGTCAGACGCGCCGAGCTGTCAGCGTGACGGACGTGACAGGCCGCTGACAGACGGATCGGTGACGTCATGTTATGTCTTCGGCCTGTGTGACGTCACGCCAGTTGCTCGTTGGTGGTTCCCGCTAGTCTGATGTTGACATTGTCAGTGTTGGCAGGATACTGTGGACATGGTGGCTGTCGGCTGATGTCTGTTCTTTTTCATACATCCCCTCCGTATTGTCGACAGGCAGGCTGTTCGTTTGGCGTTGGACATGCTCCGTTCCAATCCCATTCAATTATCGATCGTCAGTGATTAATGCGGCGCACGTCGCTGACAGTCTGGACAGTGTCGGCGGCTGTCACCGGCGGGCTGCGCTATCACTGATCACAGGACACCTCCCCTCGGCTGCTGCCTCTGCCACCGTCACCGCTCGATACCCCCCGGGGAGGCGAACCGACCCGCCGGAACGGCACGCGCGTCTGACCCCTCCCCACCCGCACCTCCTCTCCCCTCCCTCCTACGCACACCGAGCCATGACGCATCGCCTCCGGTGTCCGCCCGCGTATATCGATCGACGGCGCAGAACAGGCCACTACCTCCGCCTTCA